ATGGCTGTGCAGGAGAGAGATGTATATATGTAAAGAGAGATGTATAGATGTATGTAAAGAATATAGCTGTGTGGAGATAGATTGTTAGAGGATTTTTCAAGGTGAAGTAAAAGAGAAAGTTACCATCAGAAAGTGTGCATGTTTCCTATTTTTCCCCTCAGATAAAAAAGTCTAGCCTCCAGATACATAAGAAATTTTTCCCAAAGTCCTACTCTGAGGCATTCTGTATACAACCCTGGAATAGTTTTAAGAGCTGGCCTCCCAGACTGTGTTAGTCAATATTGAAGACAGCCTGTAGTCCATGAGTATAACTTCTCAGTATTTTCTTTTAAAAAATTATTTGCTTAGTGTGTCTGTATCCACACGTGTCTCCCAGCACTTTTGTGGAGATTGGAGAACAACTTGAGGGAGTTCATTCTCTCCTTCAGTCGTGTGGGTACTGGGGATGGAGCTCAGTTTGTTCGGCTTATCACCAGGCACCTTTACCCATCCACTTGACCTTGGCATTGAATTGCTTTTCTTTAATGTAAATTGTGACTGAACTTGCAGGTAGTATATATATACAACAATGGTAGTGATTGCCATCCTTATTATAAATTGTTTTTTAAAAACATACTTCCAAAATAATAGCTTTACTCCCCCTCTTAAAGTTGTGGAGTTTCCTCTTTTACTCATCCCACCTTCCATAATGTATTTATTTGTATAATATATTTTAGAAATTAATATTTTTATAAGGACTCAGTCATGCAAACCATATTATGTCTAATAGTATATTTATACATTAGACAGCTTTACAGAAATGCCCTATAGTAATCAGAGTTTCTATATAGATAATTCCTAAAGCTTTTTTTTTATTTATGGATTTTTCCTAAGTCGTCATGGTTTTAAATACTTTGATTAAAGTCACTTTAAATTTAGCACAATATTTTAATTTGGTCCTCAATTGAAAGAGAATTGCCAACATATTTTCTATACATTTCATTCATAAGCATGCACATAAGGGAACCATTACAAAGAACTTTGCTTCCTGGTTTATGGTGGAGGGTGGGATTAGATACCCAATAATCTTTTCATGCTTTAGTAATAAAATATTAAGGAATAAGATCCAGTTATTAGAGTTTAGATAAAATAATTTTATTTTGACTTCAGTTTATAATTTCTTAAAGTACCATCTTAGTGTTACTTAAAACCACTTGTTTTGTATAGCTTTGTTATTCATTCACCCCCTATCTTACTTTTACACATTCAGTTTTTTTATTTTTTTATTTTGGTTTTTCAAGACAGGGTTTCTCTGTGTAGCTTTGCGCCTTTCCTGGAACTCACTTGGTAGCCCAGGCTGGCCTTGAACTCACAGAGATTCTCCTGGCTCTGCCTCCCGAGTGCTGGGATTAAAGACGTGCGCCACCACCGCCCGGCCACATTCAGTTTTTAAATGAACTTACTGAAGTATTCCATATGGGCGTGAAAGTGCATAAACCATAGCATAGATGAATGAATTTTCTGAAGTGAACTTAGCAGTGCTTAGACCAGTATGGAGGAAAATAGTAACTGTCTGGACCACTCTCTCTGGGTCATATCATAATATCAGCTCAAGAGACAATCACTATTGGCTTTTAACACTGGATGAGTTTTTCTGTTTGCTGCTGTCATCTTTGACCCATAGTGTGTGATTCAAGAGTTCCAGTATTTTACTCTGAGTAGCAGTTCATTTTTATTTCTGTATTCCATTATACAGATGTTATGAATGATAATGATAATTTACTATGTAGATAGTTTCCTTCATACTGTGTCTATTTAAATTCTCAGTTTTTTCAGTGTTCCTTTAAATATTGTTGCTTTGTAGGGATTCTTGATATGTAGCTTCATGTGAGGCCTAGTTGGATGTGTGTTTTTATAGCTAGAGTTTTCCTGCCTGGCCCACAGTCAGGACAAATCTCTCTCACACGCCAGTCCCAAAGCCGCTCAGACCCAACCAAGTAAACACAGAGACTTATATTGCTTACAAACTGTATGGCCATGACAGGCTTCTTGCTAACTGTTCTTATATCTTAAATTAACCCATTTCTATAAATCTATACCTTGCCACGTGGCTTGTGGCTTACTGGCATCTTCACATGCTGCTTGTCCTGGCGGGGGCTGGCAGTGACTCTGACTCAGCCTTCCACTTCCCAGAATTCTTCTCCTCCTTGTCCCACCTATACTTCCTCCTTCCTGACTACTGGCCAATCAGTGTTTTATTTACTAACCAATCAGAGCAACACATTTGCCATACAGAACAACCCACAGCATGTTTTATTTCCTACAGAACAGTCAAGTCTATTTTATGGCTTAAGTATTTATTTACTTTTCATGATATCTTTGGAGGATCAGAAATTAGAAATTAGGTACATTTATTATATATATATATATATATATATATATATATATATATATATATATATATATATATATATATATACATTCAGGTTATCAATTGTGTCTTATTTAAGAAATTGTGGTCAGTGAGTGTAGCTTGGTGGTAGAGCACTTGCCTAGCATGTATGAAGACCTGGGTCCATCTACAGCACCTCTGAATAAAGATAGTAATGGTGGTCAAGTGTACTGTCATGGCTATTTTTTCTTACATAGACTTCTGGATACCTTTTATTTTTATTTTTATTTTTTTTGGTTTCATATCACCACCTGAAATTGGTTCACTTCTTCCATTTGGATATTTAACCAGCCAACACAATTCACTGAAATGATGATCCATCCTATTGCGCTGTAACAGTTTAAGTCTGTTCTGGATTCTGTGTTTATCAATCTGTTATCCTTACACAAAATATTTAGATGTATGCATGTGTGTATCTTATCTACGTGCCTACCTCGTTTTTCTGGGTTTGGAAGCATCCATAGAATTTTATAATTTAATTTGGTAGTCTCTCTATAACTCCATAAAATGTTTTGAAAAAGAGAGTGTTTTATTCTCTCTCTGTCTCATCGTGCTGGAGATCAAATCCAGGAGCATTTACTTGTTTCATTTGTATGTAAATTCCTTTGTTTTCTATGTATAATATTGTGTTATAGTTTTCTCTATATATAAAATAGATAATATGGTTTGTTTCATTCCTTTATCTCTACAACATTATTTCTTTCTCTTGACTTAATGTACTAGATGCTAAAACCTCCAAAGTAGTAATTAAGAAAAAGTTGGCACTAGTAATCTTACTGATTTTAATGGGAGAATTTTTCCAGTAATTTTTATTGGCAATATTATTGCTATGTATTTCTAGATGAACTTATAAAGTTCCCATGCAGTCTTGTTTTTAAAAATTTGTTTTTGTTACAGTTCTTCTGTGTCTGTTTACATAGTTCTATGTCATCTTTATATGTTAATTTGAAGAATGATATTGATGCATTTTCACATGTTAGATGAATCTTTCTGGATATGGATATAGCTTTTTTTAAATATATCTTAAAATTCAGGCTGATGTTTTGTTTAGATTATTTGCCTAGTGTTCATGGTAGTGATTGACCTATAATTTCATTTTCTTATAATAATCTTTCAAGTTCTAAGGAGTAAGATTATGTTGGCCTTATGAATCAGGTTGCATGAGATGTCAGTTACCTTTCAGCATTTTAGAAGGCAGTAAAACAAATTTGAAAGATAAGCCTAAACAAATAGCTTACAGTTTTTAGATAGCAGAAAAGTCTATTTTTAAATGTTTGTATGTACTGTTATTTGTATATGTATATATGTGCATGTTTGTGTATGTGTGAAGGCCAGAGGTAGATGTGTGTGTGTGTGTGTGTGTGTGTGTGTGTGTGTGTGAAGGCCAGAGGTAGATTTTAGTTGTCTTCTATCCCTTTCCACCTTATTTTAGATAATCTCTCAGCAAACCTGGAGCTCACTGATTTCCAAGACTTCCTGGACAGCAAGCCATGGTGATCTTCCTGGTCCAGTACTGGGAATATAGGACATGCCATGACACACCTTTTTCACATGGATGTGGGGATCAAATTCAGGAAGTATAAAGTGCTTCCATTCTGTGCTCAGAACTAAGGCTACCGTGTAGTCGTGCTCTGCAGCACAGGGAAACACCGCACCAATTGACTGTGCATTGAATTTTGAATTGACCATTGCCAGATTCTTTTTGGCTAACCCCACATTCAGTTATATGACTTTATATGGAGTTCCTGTCAACAGTTAAGAATTTGGCCTCTAGACTTAGCTACAGCTCTATGCACTTGAAGCTTCATACCTGGTATTTGAAGGAGGTAGTTGGACATTCAGTCTTGCCAGTGTTTGAACTGTAAACAAATGTCAAAACCAAAGATTATAGCATATTTGACTATTCTGTTAGAGCTGTCTTTTAAGCTATTTTCTAAATTTTATTTTAAGGGTCTTTTGGTTTTTTTTTTTTAAGTGCATTATTACTGTGATACTACTCCTGTGAAAAACAAATAAACAGTTCTTTCCAGTTCTCCAAACCATAAACTTCCCTAAGTGAGCCTTTTACCTCCATTCTTCCATCTCCAGTCTCCCTCAGTGCCCTAGTAAAAGTATCTTTTATTACAGACCTCATGTGTGCATCTAATTCTCAAGTCATCTCTCTTGTGTTCTGTCTTCTTTCAGATCTTCTCCTAGTCTCTCTAAACTTGTGGCTTGGTTTTAGTGCTTTCAGGAAAAAGGCAATAGCAAAAGGCACATTGCTATTGTACTTATTTTAATGACACCCTATCAACGCTATTTTGATAAACTTTGATTTTCTTTTTAAATGTTGTTCGTAAATTGTTTTGTCAGTTTGTCATCTTTCACTGCTTAAGTACTTGAGTTGTGCTTTAATCTTCCATATATTACTGTCCCCTTCACCATTAATCCCACTCAATTTCATACATTCCTGTAAGTGCAAAATACTGTAAATGCTGTAATACCCACAGACTTTGGGGTTAGTCGTATTGTTACCCAGTTGGTATTTATGGAATACGTGATCAGTTTTGTATTATTTTCCTCTTCATAGGTCTGTATGCCTTGCGAAGAATCCTGAGGAAACAGCCTAATCTCCCTGATAGCAAGGTGGCTGGCATGGTGAAAATTACCCTGAATGATTTCTTACAAGGGATGAATGACATCAGACCTAGTGCTATGAGAGAGGTAGCGATTGATGTCCCAAATGTAAGTAATTTATACTTATGCAAGTCTTACTATTTGAATAATATTCTTAAGAAAATTGAGACTCCAAGATGACCGACTTACTAGACTAACCTTTTTTAATATATACATTTAACAAAAAACGTTCTCTTGAGATAGTTATAAATTCAGTAAAGTTCTATGGTAACTCAGAGAGGCCCTGTGTTATATATCCTTTGCCTGGTTTTCTCTGGTGACAGAGTCCTGCAAAACCAGATGAGATATGCACACTGCTAAACTCTGCTGCTTTGACTTGAACTTCCTCACTTTCAATTGGACTTTGAGTGTTTGATGAATTTAGGCATATGGGGTTTTGTCAGATGGAAAGATTTGTGTTTATCATATTCAAATTATCACCACACAGTTCTCACACTATTTTCAATGTCATACTCAACTCAGTCCTCATCCCACTTCTAAAATTTTATTATTTTAAAAATATATATAAATGGAATCATTTGGATACAACTTTTTAGAGTTAGCTTTTTGACTTAACATAATTCCCTCGAATTTCATCTAAATCGGTAGCTCTTCACTTTTGACTTTTGGGTGTCAAATGACCCTTTCACAGGGGTTGCCTGTCAGATATTTACATTATTGTTCATGACAGTAGCAAAATTACAGTTATAAAGTAGCAACACAATTTTATAGTTGGGGTCACCACAGTGTGAGGGACTATATTAAGGGTCGCAGCATTAGGAAGGTTGAAAACCACTGCTCTAAATAGTTAACATTTTTCAATTTGTTCTTTTTTATTTGAGTAGATGTCACAAGGGATGTCCAAATTCAGGTCCTCGTGCTTGTGTCATATATACTTGATCTTTGTAGCCAGTTCCTCGTGCCTTGCCTCAGGTTTTATGGTTTCATTGTTTTAAGACCTTGATGAGGCACAGTGGTAGGAGTGATGACAGAGAATGTTCCTCACCTGTTTAAGCTGGGGATTGAAAGTGAGGAAGGAGGAAGCACAGTCCACCCACCCTAAAGGCACATAACTGTGACTTTGAACCTTTCATGAGGCTCTGTTTTGTAACGTTTCCACCACTGCCCCAGGTTGCTTGATTGGGAAAGAAGCCTTTAATACATTGGCCTTTCAAGGAGGTTTTAAGATCCAGACTGTAGCAATATTCTATAATAAATGCATTTATTGATGGTATCTTGGTTCCCTCCAGTTTTTTACTACTGTGAATGACGCTGGTATGGACTGGTATTCTATGAATGTAAGTTTTCCTTTCTCTTGAATAGATGGCCAAAAGTAAAATTTAATTGGTAGGTTGGGTTGTATATAAAACATTTTGTAGTAAGTTTAGTTTTATTAGAAAATATCAGTGAACCTATTTCTAGAACAAACAATTTGATCATTATCAACAAATGGTATTTAATGTTTCTTCAGGGCTTATTACACACAGTTTCACAGGAACAGAAAATACCAATTATGTGTGTGTTTTTGTTAATGTCCCTTATGACCTAGCTATGCCTGATCTTCAAGAAAAACATGATCTGGATGATTAGTAATAATAATTATTGCTAGACATGGGTGTCTTACTGCCACGTTTTTTTTCTATTTTATGGTTCCTTTATTCTTTTGTTGTCCTTTTTTCTCATGATTTCTGTATCTGTTACAGATTTCTTTTTTGTGATTATGCTTACCTCTGATTTCTAATAGTGCAAAGATTATTTTAAACAAATAAATGCAGCGGCACACATGCTATACCTTTGCATCTTTAATAATACTGATATCACACTTCACATCATTTTTACGTTGTCTGTCTCTTCAAGTTACTGTAGTTAACTAATAACACATTTGTCCTTTAGGTTTATAGTAGAGTTAAGATGATGTATGTACCATTGTTAACAGTTTATGCTATCTGGATTTTAGTATGTTGTTACTATAATAGGGAGTATATATTTTATTGTTAGCATCCTTTTGCTTCAAGTTGAAAAAATGCTGATTACTATTTCTTAGAAGGCAGATCTAGTTATTTTTGCTTGTCTGGTAAAACATTTCATTTTCTTTCATTTCTGAAGGGTTTTTTTTCCTTTTTTTTTTTTTTTAAATATATAGCCTTCTTGGTGGACTATTTTTAAAATATATCTTCTAGTTCTGGGGATCTGGCTCGTGGTGGAGCATTTACCTGCTATGCCCAAGGCCCCGTTTTCATCTCCAGTTCCACAAGGAAAAAGGTTATCTCAGCCTTCCTAGCCTGCAAGGTTTCTGCTGAGTATTGTCATTGGGGATGCAGGGTGCAGTGTGCATGGTGAGCTGCTTTTCTCTAGCTGCTTCAGCATTCCTTGACATTTGAAAACTTGGTGGTGCATGTTAGTGAATGGTGAAATCTTTATATTTATTGTATTTGGAGTCTTCAGGCGTTTGGGGATCTGTATGTGCCTGAGCACAATGGGGAAGTTTGCTGCCATTATCTCTTTAACCATTAACTAAACTTTCTGCCCCTTTCTTTGCCCCTTCTGGGACTTTTCATGTTCTTTATGTTTGTTTGCTTGATGGTATTCCACAAGTCCTACAGGCTTTTTTTACTTCATTTTCCCACCATGTTAGGCAATATCAAAAGATCTGTAGTCTCGTGTGTCACCTGCTTGATGAGCTATTGACATTTTTGTTTTGAATTTTTACTTTCGTCACTGTGTTCTTCAACATTAGAATTTCTCTTTTTTTCATTTTATTGAAAATAGATTGTTTTCTTATATAATATATCCTGATTATAATATCTCTTCCCCCTGTTCAGTTATTCTACTCCCTCCCCGGGACTCCCAGCCTCTTCCCTCCTTTTCCCTCCCATCCCTTCCCTTCCCTCCCTTCCTCTCCCCCCCCCCAGATCCTCTTCTGTCATTAGAAAAGAACAGATTTCTAAGAGATAACAACCAAACATGACAAAAATAAAATATAAGATGAAGCAAAACCCATCATACCAAAGTTGGACAAGGCAACCCAACAGAAGGAAAAGAGTCCTAAGAGCAGGCACAAGAATCATAGACCCACTCATTCTCACACTCAAGAGTCCCATAAAAATACTAGTTAAAAGCTATAATATTTAGTCAGAGGACCTGATGACGACCCATGTAGGCCCTGTGCTTGCTGCTTTGGTCTCTGAGTTCTTATGCGCCTTGCTTAGTTGATTCAAAAGTCCTTGTTCTCCTTCATCTTCTCTGGCTCTTACACACTTTACACCTTCTCTTCCGCGGGGTTCCCTGAGTTCTAAGGAGAGAGATTTGATAGAGACATCCCATTTAGACTTTCTCTAAAATGGATGTGGGTCTCTATCTGTTCCCATCTCCTGTCGGAGGAAGCTTCTCTGATGATGGCTGAATAGGGCACTGATCTATGAGTATAGCAGAGTATCGTTAAGCATCATTTTAGTGATTCATTCATTCATTCTTTCTTTCTCTCTCTCTTTTTTCTTTCTTTCTTTTTTTTTTTTTTTTTTAATTTTAAGACCAGTAGTGTTTGGTGTTACCCTAGGTCACTGGGATATCTAGTTTCTGATTCTTGCTCACCTAAGCAGTGTTGGACATGGGTTCCATCTCATGGAGTGGGCCTTAAATCAAATCAGACATTGGTTACTCCCACAAGTTCTGTGCCACCATTGCCTTAGCTTACTTTGCAAGCAGAACAGATTGTAGGTCAAGATTTTGTGGCTGGGTTTACATTTATTTACATTTATTCTCTGTTTATGTTTCTCTTTTGGTAGTGTACAGAGTACTTGCCTACACCAAAGACACTAGAATGTAGGGGTGAAGGCTCCATGTAGGCAACAGCTGGACTTCATGTTCAATGAGTTTTGTGGGTGTTGTTCTCATCAATGATGTCCTATCAGTTTATGGAGAGCAACTCATTGTCTTAACAACAGCCTTGGTTTTTTGGGGGGTTCCATGTGACCCCCTTGGCCAGCAACTCAGTTTAATACAACCCAGTCTCACTACTGGAAGCCTTGTTTGGTAACAGGGATGGCCATTCGAGACTATTATTAGACAATCTCATTAAGATCACCTTCATATATTTTAGAAAGTTTCCACTGCACTTGGTTTCCATATCATCCCTCAAATGCCTCTCAATTCTAGCTATGTCCCTGCATTCTCTCCCTCTCTACCCTGTCTCCCCTTTACCTCCTCATCTGATCTTCCTGTTCCCTTCCCATTTGCCCCAGTACACCTGTAAAGTCTAGTCTATTTCTCTCTCCCAGGGAAATCCATGTATCCACCTTAGACCCTTCCTCTGTATCTATCCTCTCGGAGTCTATGGATTGTAGCTTGGTTATCAGTCACTATGTTCTTCAGTGTTAGAATTTCTGTTTGGTTCTTTTCTTACAGTTTCTCTCTTGAATTCCCTTAGTTATATATTACTTTGCTGATTTTATTTGTTTATCTGTGGTCCCTTGTAATTCCCTGATCTTTTTATTTTTAGCGTGACTATTATGAGATTTTTGCTTATCAGTTTGTAGTTTCCCAGTATTATTATTGTTAAAGTTTTGTTCAGTGTGCATGTGTTTGTGTATAAGCACCATTACCCATTAAACCATCTTGTGGTCCTTGATACCCAGTTCTTTCAGATATAGTGGAAGTGATGAAATTTATTCCTTTGGTGGTATTGTTTTCCTAATTATCTGTGATCATTGTGACCTTTTGCTGTTGTGTGTGTAGGTGAGGAAGTAGACCTCTTAATTTTTACAGATTAGCTTCTTAAAAAATGTCTTGACTGGTAGCCCTTTGGGGGTCTTGGGTTCTGCATGCTGGCTTACTGCTCAAGCCTCACATGGTCTGGCCTGGTTCCTGGATCAGCAGATGAGCAGATCTAACATCTTGTTCTGGGAGTTCTGGCCTAGAACCTGGGTCTGCCGGGCTTGGACTTGATGTGATTATAGGACTGGATCTTGAGTCCTGAAGACTGACCTGGTGTTGGGCTAGTCTAGAATAAAACTATAGGGAACGACTCAACACCTAAGGCCTGCCTGGGTCTGTGAGAGCTGTTTGAGGTA